ATATATAATAATAATTATAATATTCAATCAAATTAAGAACGATCATCTATTTTGCCATCTACAACTAAAGTAATGGAATAAAGATACTCATGTCTTCATATTTCATTTCCATTTGCATATCAACAACAGGCATAGGGAATGGAAAACTAACACGAAATTGTGTAGGTATTTGCAACGCCCCATATTGAATCATCTAATTTATTGGATGATAAGGATAGTAGTATTATGGTTATGGAAAGTATGGCTAAGGAGGAGGAGGAGGAGGAGCAATAGTTTATTATTGTCTAATTGGAATCATTGGTTGCGTTTTTACACGTTTTGCTATTTAAGGTTCTATTGGTTTTCTTCCTCTCTTTTTTGGTTCACTTTATTCCACTTATACTTTTGGTTTTGGACCTCTCTTTTTAGGCATCACAGCTTTTGATGGATATGTGCTGGAATCATTTTAAATCTTATTTTCATCTCTTGGTTTATAATCTTCATCAATTATTTTTAAAATCACATGAACAAAATCATGTTTATTAAAACAATTGATATGATCTGAAGATTTTATGTGCTATATTTTATACATATCTTTTTATACTTCCAAATAATCTCCATAAGGTTTACGACATACTCCACAATATCTATGTTTACGACCAGGTTTTGGAATTTACTAAACTTAGTTCAAATCTAATACCAATTTTGTCTTCTTCATTGTATATTCTTATATCTTTCTTTGATGATCGTCTTTGTATTTCTACATACTTCTCAAGTAGTCATTCTATTTTTATATTATACAACTTATTCTTACTCTGTCTACTTCTAATATGAAACCTGGTAAACATTATTATTCATCTTAATTAAAGACTGGAACGATATTTTCAAAACAGGCCAGCTTTGAATTATATTATATATCTGTTACAGCATCGTTGTACAAAGGACAGAAATCAATGTTGGTAGGTTACTTAAACCAACACTTTTAACTTTTTGGATGGAGATTAAACTAATGATCTGGACATTTTTGTTAACACTTGCGTTTCCCCTATCCTGAAATTTTCTCTCCAGCCATTTAAATTAATTATAATATATTTGGATACGATTTTTTTACTATTTTTCTAAATCATTAACCTTTGACATCATTCATAATAGTGATTGAATTGTTAAGCATCATCTGAAATAAGAGGTGATATAAAATCTTTAAGTTTTATTAATAATGTAATATATTGATCAAGGAAATGCAATTTCAATGAAATCAGTTCAAGTAAGAAGACTGTAGAAAAAGAACTCTCTCTTTTATTAAGTATTTATATAGATGTAATAAATAGCAATCATTTTTAGAAACAGAAGAATTTAGTCATCGATATGAAAAGAACATAGAGGAATTGAAAATTTTTAAAGATGATCCAAATCTCAATGAATTTAAAGAGCATTTTAAATTTAGAAATGGTAAATTTTATGAATAGCTTGAATAAATAATAAAAGTTGAATCTTGCCTAAAAGATTTTGCAAAAGGGTATGATATAAAAAAATAGTTTAAAGTTATGAAAAGTACGGTTTTGTAATATCAGAGTCAGGAATATTGCATTGATAAATGATTTATATATAAGAAGGAATAAATAAAGAAATGATAATACAAAGAATGGGCTCCAGGAGCAAAGGAAGTGTATTTAACAGGTGATTTTAACAATTGGAAGAAAACTGAGTATAGTTTAAATTCAGATACATTTGGTAATTGGGAGATATTTTTACCAAGAAATGAAGATGGTACATATATGATTAATCATGGTTCAAGAGTTAAAACATATATAAAAAATGGAAGAGATGAATATGTATATAGGATTCCAGCTTGGATAAAAGTGACATGGCAAAATGAAGAGAATAAAGTATAAATTAATAAAATAAATTTATAGATGTTTGATGGAGTATTTTATAATCCAGAGAATAGATATGAATTTAAGAATAAAAGACCAGAGAAATTAAGATCTTTAAAGATATATGAAGTTCATATAGGAATGGCAGGGATTGAACCAAGAGTACATAGTTTTAATGAATTTAGAGAGTAAGTATTACCAAGAGTGGTCAAATTAGGATATAATGTGATTTAAATAATGGCAATATAAGAACATGCTTATTATGGTAGTTTTGGATATCATGTTACTAATTTCTTTGCTGTAAGTAGTAGATTTGGTAGTCCAGAAGATTTAAAAGAATTAATTGATACAGCTCATGGCTATGGAATACATGTATTAATGGATTTAGTACATAGTCATGCATCTAGTAATGTATAAGATGGAATTAATGAATGGGATGGAACAGATTATTAATATTTTCATGGAGGAATAAAAGGTAATCATAAATAATGGGATTCAAAAGTATTTGATTATTCTAAATGGGAAGTAAGAAGATTTTTATTATCAAATTTATCATGGTGGATGAATGAGTATTAATTTGATGGATTTAGATTTGATGGTATTACATCTATGTTATACATTCATCATGGTGATGGACATGGATTTAATGGAGGTTTACATTAATATTTCAATGAATTAGTTGATATAGACTCTTTAGTTTATTTGATGTTAGCAAATGATTTGATCCATGAATTAAATCCTAATGCAATTACTATAGCAGAAGATGTATCTGGATATCCATCATTATGTAGAACTATTAAAGATGGTGGGATTGGTTTTGATTATAGAATGGCTATGGCTATACCAGATAAATGGATTAAATTACTTAAGGAAATTAAGGACGATGATTGGAATATGGAAGATATTACCAATACTCTTACTAATAGAAGATATCTTGAGAATTGTATTACTTATGTTGAATCACATGATTAAGCATTAGTTGGAGATAAAACATTATCTATGTGGCTATTTGATTAAGAAATATATACTTAAATGAGTATTTCATAATCTGATACCTTAATTACATTCAGAGCTATGGCATTACATAAAATGATCAGATTAATAACATTTGCTCTTGGAGGTGAAGGATATCTAACTTTTATGGGTAATGAATTTGGACATCCAGAATGGATTGATTTCCCAAGATAAGGAAATTCATGGTCTTATTAACATGCTACAAGAAGATGGGATTTAGCTGATGATTCCACTTTAAGATACTCTTAATTATTATCATTTGATATTCATATGCTTCTATTAGAAACAAATTATCCTTGGTTACCTCATGGACAATAATGGGTCACTGAAAAACATAATGATATGAAAGTTATTATCTTCGAAAGAGCCTCATTACTTTTTGTCTTTAATTTTCATCCTACTCAAGTATCAATTATCTTTATTAAATAAGTCCTATTAACATTTTAAAGTTGGAACCAAATTTAATTCAGATCATTTCATTGTTTTGGACACTGATGATATTTAATTTGGGGGACATTCCAGACTTTCTCCTTCCTATAACAAACCATTCAAATTATTTTAAGAACACTGGTAAGGAAGACCTAATCATATTCAAATCTATTTACCAAATAGATGTGCCATTGTATTCAAATCAAATGAATGATTTTTTTGTTTGCTTTAAACAAAATTATACAAAAATATATTATGATATAACGATTATTAAATTTGAAATGTATTCACTTTAGAAATTGCTGCCTAATAATAAAATTCAATTAAAACCTGGAGCATTTTCATAGCATTAGAAATTAAATTAGAGTGTCGATGGTGTATTTCCAGTTAATTAAAAATCTACTTAGTTACTTTAGACCTAAATAGTCAACAAAAAAGAACCTCAAAGATAAAATACTAAAAAATAAGAATTGATTTAAATCCTAGAGAATGCTTAACTTAATTAAAAGTAAACTAAATCAGTTTCACCAAATACAACTCCTCAATAATAAAAAAGTAACAGAAAATTAAATTTTAATCAAATTACAGAATAAGATGCACATTTTCTTAATTCAAGTAATGCTATGGCAAACATGATTATTGAAAATATACTCAATAAAGATGTATATTATGAGAGAATTCGTTCAGAAAATCAAGATTTGAAAGATTAATCGTCAAAATTGCAATTAACTCTAAATGAATTAAAAAAAAAGTTTACTTTCTAGGAATAAACAAATAAAGAACTCAACTAAAATCTCTAAGATGAACGTCAAGTATATTAAAATTAACTCCTTAATATAAATGAATAAATTTAATTGTTAAAACCATTAAAATCAAATCTTTAAATGGAACAGAAAAAAACCGAATCTTTAACTAAATAGTTATAAGATTAAATTGCAATAAATAATGGATTAAAATCTTTCATTTGTGAAAATTGTTTAGTTTGCATTGAGTTCCTATCATTTTTTTAGAAAATTGTTTAGCATTTTCAACCCTCATTAACGTTAGCATATGATTCTCTAATTTAGCTCTCAAAAAATTCTACTGCATTTATTTTAGAATTTATTTCTAAAACATAAAATCTCAATCTACCAGCACTAAGAAATTGTGTATTACCAGAAGAATTTGATGTTAATGGATTTTTTACAACAGTGGAATCTTTAAAACTTAATGAATCTTTTGAAATATCCTTTGGAAATAAAATCATTAATGCATATGTAAATTAAAGATCAAATAATACTCTTTCGCTTCCTGAACCTCCAAAACCTAATAGAAATGTCTCATTTCAAGAATAATTCAATTAATTTTTGGATATAAGTGAACCTTTTTTAGAATCTTAAATGGGTCGCCCATATTTAACAGATCTAGAAATGATAGAAAAATAAAGAGTATTAAGTAAAGAGAAATATAGACATTAATTGCCTTTATAAATCAATGCAGCTAAAAGAGTGAATCAAGATATAGTTGACAACTCTTATTAATTTTAATCATTCAAAAACAATGATAATTAAATAAATATCATGGATTCTCTAATGAAAGATACATCTTAAAATTAAGATCGTTGTTCCTCACTTCATAATGTTATTTTGGATTAAAAGGAAAAAGATAAATAATCCAAAAGAAATAAAGAAAATTAATAATAAATATATAATTAATATGTAATAGCAAAATATGATTACAAAGCATAAAAAGTAAAGATTTTAAATAATTTTCGTAGGATACAGATTTAAGCTTTAAGAAAGGAGATTAAATTAAGTTGTTAAGGAGAACAACAAATGGATGGTGGTATGGAGAAGACAAAAATTAAATCAAAGGATACTTTCCACACAATTTTATTTTGTCAGTGTGATGTTTGTAGTTATATATATTTTCATTTTTTATAACAGCTCTCTACAGCATACCTATTTAACAATAATATTATTTCTTAAGTAGTTTCGATAACTAGATTACTATTCTTTCCTATTTGATCTGATATTGAAACGCAATGGAATTACTTAAATTAATAAAAATTTAAAAATTACTTTATTTAAAGGCATATTTGCAAATTAGAAAATTTGGGTAATTTTATCTAGCCATGATCGATCGAAAGAAATGAGGTTTGCAAAAGAAACTAATCCTTTCTTATCAACCTCATTCGTAATAATAATTTTCAATAATTCTTCGATTTATTGAAATTAATGTTTAATTTTAATGGAGTAATTTTCTTAAGTGATAATATACTCATCCAATTCTAATCTTAACTCCTTTATAAGATTGGAAATAAGAATATTGGCTGCAGCATTAGAGTCTTAGATCTTTTCTTTTATTTGTAATGTATAGATAAGATTTTTCTAAGAAAGAATAAAATGTTCATGATGAGATAATTATTAAAGTTTAGTTTCAACAATTTCATCTTTGTCAATGATTTATTAAAAAGTTGTTTAATTATTTTATTTAATAAAAAGACCATCTTAAGCAATGATATATAAATTATTGATGGAACCAAAAGTTAATTCTAATAGTTCACATTCTTGATCTGATATGAGAATTAAAGTATTATTTTCATCTAAAGCCAATTATTCTAATGCTTAGACTAATTATTCAATTTTTTGTATTTTTTATTTAAAAGTTTCAGTATAAGCTAAGATTATGACTCTTTGATTATCGTGAACTTAATTATTATTGAATCTAGAGATTATTTTGGTCTTATCAATTTAACAAAATTGTCTATCTTTCAATCCTAAAGTTAATTCTTTGGCTGAATCGTATAATTATTTATCAAGCCAATAATCTTCACAATAATTTAGGTGATCATTCAATCTCAGAAGCCAATCATTGCTGCTAGGTACATTGATATATGATGTTAGATGATTATTTATATAATTTGAAATGATTTATGCTGACATCTATATATTAAATGGGTTGATTTTTTAATGATCAACTTTAGGTTAACACCATTTACTTAAAATAATTTTAGCTTTCTGTTTTTAAGATTGTCTTACATAGATATATTCTAAATATGTTGAAGAAATAACATCTCTTAATGAGGTCTTGATAAAAACATCTGCTTTATTATATAATTTGATTCGATCCTATTGAGAAGAATCTAATATCAACAGAATTAGTTATTGTTAATATTTATTATTGATTAATTCAACTTGATTAGTTAATTCTTGTAATAAAGATAGTAGAGATAAATTATTCTCAAAATCATCTTCATTATTTTTAAATAAAAGTTGGATCAACTGAACTTATTATCCCATTTAGTGCAATGTCTCTACAATTTAAAATTTTAGATTCAATCCACTTTAGACAGATATACTATCAACTCCTAAAAGTATTATGGAATCTTTAGTGATCCAATCTTCAGTGAATATTACATTTGTTAATTATTAATTTTCATTTAAACCAACATTTCCATAATCAAGTATTATTTTTCTACCTAATACTTCAATAGTAAATGCAGTCATTCCAGAAACTTATGTGAATTTCTAATATTAAAATGGAACACATGATATAAAATTATTTAAATCCTTTAATTCAACAAGTGAGATTAAATCACTCATTAATAAAGATGAGAGCATCATTTAACTAATGGTCAATATTCTAAATTATTTTGGATTAGGAAATGATCTTCTCATAATGGTACAAATACGTGGTCGATATTCATTCTTTTTTATCAAACCTTCTTTAATAAAAATAGGAATTAAAAAAAGATGGTAATCAAAAATGAAGATTGAATGCAAATGAGTAAATTGATTATTAAAAAGTGTACAAAACATGGCATCCTATACAAATTTGGCAAATATTTGATTTATGTTCATGTAATCATCTTCTGAATTAAATCTCAAATTTGGAATTAAATTACTAAAAACTGGTTCAACAAACTAGGTGAAACAAGGTAATAAGGATTCATCTAATTAAATACCATAACACTTATATTATTCATAACTATATGAGTGTGAACTGTTTACATATATTATTAGATAAGATTGAATTCTATTTCATCTTAGATTGATATTCCTAACCATCCTATCCATATTGCTTTGAGACTTAATCTGTTACTAAATAGATCATACATATTATTGTAATAGGGATCTTAAGTAAAAGTGAATTTATATTTTTTAAGAATATCTATTGTAAAATTGTAAATTAATTACCTTTTTTGTTTCTTACTTGAATTTATTAATCAATTGTAGTTATTTAAATTGGAATCTTCAAACTTAAACATAAAACGAAAGAATCAGTGAAAATTTAAGAAGAAGACTGAGATCTCTTTCTTTTGTAATCAAATACTAATTCAGGAGAACCATATTAATCTGAAATTTTACGGAATTTTGATATAGATTTTTACTTTTGCTTACATAAAAAATATTCCTATAAAAGGTTTAAGTCATGAATTACTTTAATAATATCTCTCCAATCACTTTCTAATTAACGAATTGAGATGGAAGAGATTCCTGTAATTTATTTAACTAATTCTGGCATACTTTCATTATCTGACTAAAAGTATAATGCATTTTAAATACTGAATCTAAATCATTATTGAATGGATCATAATCCCTAGACCTATTAAATCTTTAGACATTGACTTTTATGTATAATATTATAGATCATACTTAAGTCTTCTTAAACAAATTCATGAGAGATTTCATATTTTTAAAATGTTCTGACATTCATTTCTTCTTTATTAAAAGTGATAATTAAGAAATTGCGTCTGAAATCACATCTATGTCTTCGATTAGGAATCATTTCCCATTAAAAGTTATCTCCATCTTGTATTAAACATTTGAATTCTAATCTGGCATCTATTAATGAATAACTTTATTTTTACATGGGTCAATTTGAATTTTACTTTCATGAGTCCATTCTGGATAAGTTGCATTGGTTGTATATAACAATAATGAGCTATTTGGATCCCAATCACCAAGTAATTAATGATTGCCACAGATTCTCACATTTTACAAATATCTCGTCTCTGCTATTACCTTAAAGCTTATATATGACATCTTAAATTATAACTAAGTATATTAAATTATAAAAATGAACAATCTCCTTCTATTGGCCATCATCATTACAATTGTACATTCCCTTGGATTCCCATCATTTTATCATCGTTCTACTGTATTTATATAAATATATATACTCTATTTAGGATATACATGTTGAAATAGCTTAAGCAATTGAAAAGTGTGAAGGAGTAGAATTAGAAATGGTTAGAGATTCTCCTAAATTATCTATGGTCACTCTAAATAAGAATCAAAATAAACCTAATAAAGGTTTTGTACTTTTTGGTGAACATGCAAGAGAATTAATCTCTCCAGAAACGGGTTTACATTTTGTAAAAAAACTCTGTAGTCAAAATGAAGAAATGAAACCAATTAAAGATAATTATGAATTAAGAATGATTGTCAATCTTAATCCACTTTCAAGAGAAAAAGTTGAAAGTGGAGATTTCTGTAAAAGAGAAAATGAAAATGGAGTTGATTTAAATCGTAATTACAAATCACATTGGTCTAAAGTATTTTACACTAATTACTCAGGATCATGATCCAGAAATGGTAAGAACTGCACCTGGACCATTTGCATTCTCTGAAGCAGAAACATAAACTGTGAGAGATGAATTAAAAAGATTCTCACCACATGTTTTCTTTTCCATTCATTCTGGAACTTTAGCACTCTTTACTCCATATGCTTATAGTAAAGAATAACGTAACTATTCTTACTCATTTATTAGCTACTGAAAATATTTCCAATATGATGTAAATCTTAACTGAAGTTAGAGAAAAACATTGTGAAACTTGTAAAATGGGATCTTGTGGACATGAAATAGGATATCTTTCTCCAGGAACATCTATGGATTATGCTTATGATGATTTAAAGGTACAATCTACATTTAGTTAATTAGATTCCTTATTCCTTTACTTTTGAAATATACCATGGAGGTTTAGATATTAGAACTAAAAAACATGCCCTTAAATTCTTAGAAGTTTAATCAACTCATAATAAACACAAAATCACAGATGAAGAAAAATTAGATTAATTACTCAGAGATCATTCTTGTTTTGCTACCACTTCTACGTATTTCATTCTTATTTATTAATTAGCAAAGAAATGCCTCCTGATGAATGTTTCAAATATTTCAATCCTGAAGAAAAAGATCAATATGATTTCTATGTTGAAAATTGGGCCTAAGCCATTACATTATCATTAAATAGAGTAGCTGAATAAAGACAATCATAACAGTAATCATGATACATTTAAAATTTATTTCATCAACTATTACAAACACTCAATTTATTCCTCATACAAATTGCGTTTTCTCGCTATTCCTCCTTAAAGTCAAAATTAAGTATATAAATATTATGTAAATTATTCCTGCACATCCAAATAAAAAACAATAATAAATAAATTTTGGAAATTGATTATGATTATCTTATTTAGGTTTTGCATAATTATGTGAATATTCCACTCCCCTTATATATGGATCATTCACATGTCGAATGTATATTGATAGATTCTCAAACGTTTAAAGTTCTTCCTAACCCAATTCCTTGTAAACTAAACCATTGTTATAACATCCACCTTAATAATACAATTAATTATCTTTTACTGACACCTTTAGACACATTTCCACTAAAAATTGTATTTTCTCTCCTTTCCAAAACCAAGGTATTATTATAATACCAAAATTATCATTACATGATGGTAGTTCTTGTATCATATTTTATTTGAATTTCTTATTATACATTAGTTGTAAGCACAATTTCTTTGAATTTGTAAGCTATGCTATTTAATAATTGATGTATCCAAAATATTCATGAAACCCAGTTTTTAGAAATAAGGTTGTGTAATTCAATAGTAAATATGGATCCTTGTGAACTTGCTTAAATAGAAATTTTTAAGTATTCAATTAACCTTCGATATTAAATTATTAAAAGCCTTTCTCAATTAAATCAAGTTCCCAATCTGAAGTTTCCTATTTTTAGATGAAGGAATACTTTTTCAATTATGTATTATTATTCAAATTCTTGCTATTAGTATGGGATTATAAAAAATGAGCAAGAAAATAGCAGGAGTATAAAATCTATGATACAAATAGAGTAAAAGATGATACAAAATATTCTACTTGGTATGAGTTATTGTATTTTTAAACAATCATATCTAACTAAATAAACTTACAACATAAATAATTATTATTAATTTTCAATATTATTTGTTTATTATTATATAAGCCAATGTTAAATTACATTACAAATATAATTCAGGTAGAAAATTTAAATTGTGTTTTTCATACAATATGATATTTCTTTTCAAATTTTGAGTTTCATAATTTGACAAAGATAACAAGTGTTGTTATATTTTTAATAAATTTTACAATATCAGAAAAACTTTGCCAATCATATATATATCTACTTCTCTATATTATTATTAGCAATTGGAATCATAAAAATTAAAATACTTAGTTTCTCAGAAGTTCTATTGATAAAATTATTGTTTTGGAAATTTTTATTTTTAGATTACAAAAGTCTATCTAGTAGAACGAAGATTAAATAATAGAAATAGGATGAAAAGATCAAAGTAAACCAAAATATGAGAATTAGAATGATATACATATATTATTATGTTTTGATATTCATTTCACATTTTATGCCATCCCTTTAGATCATCTTCGTCTGAATCAAACTCTTTCTAAAAAAAAAAGATTAAAAATACCTTTTTAGTAGACTCAATGCTTATTTTAATATTTTCTTATTTCTTCATTTGTTCATACTCTTACTCTTCTTGTTATTCAATCTTTTTATCTCTCCATTCCTTAGGTAATTACCAAAACTAAAAGATAATTACAAAAAATACTTTTAATGATTTTTCCTTACCACTTGTTACCAACATATGTCTATCTTCATACCATTAGAGTTTAGTTATATCAGTATTGTGAGCCTTAATTACAACTAAAAGAGAGTAATGAATAGATATTACATATAGGTGCAGCCTTTTTACCACTCCAAACAGTAACTGTACCATCTTTATTACCTACCAGACATTCTCCTCTGGAAGGTGACCATACAATTTCTCTCATTTGTAATTTTCCTTTTAAACTTGCTGTTTGTTTAGTAAATTTTTCTCTTCCAGACTTACCAACTTCAAATATACCAATTTCACCTTAATCAAAACCTGCAGTGAATAAATAATTCTTGACAGGATCAAAAAATATTCCTCTAATAGGTGAAAGTGTTTATGATGCGACTGAGACAGCCAAAGAAGGACCCATTGTTGCTGATGTAATTTCAAATACATGAACGTAACCTCCTCTATCTGAAACAAATATTCTTCTATTATCTTTATCAGCTGCTAAACCTGTTAAACCATGTTAGCTTGGTTAGATTTCAGCTATTGTTATTTATCTTTAAAAGTCAAGGACTTTATATTTCTTGTCTTCAGATACAGAATGAATATGTGAATTTATGGAATCATAGAAAACACCCATTACTCTACCCTAATGCGCTTTGATATCTGCTTACTAATATTAATAAATGAGATGAGTACTTCATCGTATCTTATAAATTGGTTTTCTTAAGGTACTTTTAATAAATTCAATTTTCCTTCATCCAATCCAATGACTAAAGTTGACGTCACTGCATCCCAATACAAACAAATTGCTTAAGATGGATAGGTTTTATTCCACATTCTTTCATACTTAAATTCATTTTCATCATTTGTTTTAACCCAACATTCTAAACATCCAACAGCCAATAATGTTGGAGGTGCTTCTTTTTCCCAAGGCATCTTCATATTGGTTAAATAAGCATCAAATCTACTTGCTACATTCATATCTGAGGATAACACAAAAATGACATCTAAAGTGTAAAAATAAAATAGATAATTTTACTCTATGATCTCTCTATATAGAAATCTCTTAATCCATGAATGAATCCTGTAATTTCTCCTAGCATCTTTGGTGGATTGACCACTTATTCTTAAGCATGCTTCTCCAATTATAAAAATTGTTTCATTGACTCAGAATTAAATACATCTGGTCTTTTTAATAATTCCTACACATAGTAATATCTTTTTACCTTAATGTAATAATCCAGTCCCACTCTTCTCTTTTCGATATCTACATGTTCTTTTAACTTAAATAATGTTTTTCCTGGCAATGGAGGTAAAGTTGTAAACACCTATTATAGAATCAATAAATAATCTTACCTTCTTTAAGTTATTATTCAGATCATCAAATTCAGAGTATCTCTTTTCTAATGTCCATTGCTATCCATCTCTCTTAGAGACCAATAATATGAATAGAATGACACTAGAATCTATCTTGCTAATTTGATACTCTTTCACCTCAGCCTAACAATATATCAATTTTATCAACCTTTAATGCTACTGCAGATTAATCCATTAATTAATATATTATGTATAACAAACATCATCTCTCTACCAAGAACCTTGATGGTCCTAAATTAGATACAACATAAGTTAGACGTAAAAGCTGTGTATGTGATCAATGTGGAGAGACTGCCTTAAAAGAAGATTAATTACCTAATTAATTATGTGAAATTGCTAATCATAAAAAAACAAGATTAGCAGACGTTTTTCTTAGTAAATTAGATGGAGCTAGAAGATACATGAGAAATGATCATAAAAAAAAGAACTTTAAAATCTATGCTAGAAATCCTCTTTTTATATTACGCTCTAAACCAGATCTAGAAGAAAGCATGCATTTTTAAACCTCTCCTACTAAAACTAATTCACCAGAACAAAAACGTATTAAAACCGAATAACCTTTAATCATTCAATCTCGCACTCATAGGTATATACCTACTTCAAATTGCTTTCTTTAAAACATCAAATAATAAGTCATGCGTCAAGATAAAACTATCAATCGTCTACTCAAAGATCGTAAAACTGTTTAATCTGTCTAATTTTCTCCTTGTGAAATCTTACCCATCAACAGATCTCCTTAAAAAAATAAGAAAATTTACAACAAACAGTTGAAACCCTTACCAAAATAAAAACAACTTCAGAGCAAGTTTAATTGTCTCATTAGAGAGTTCTTCAACTCTTCTAAAGCAAAATAATACTGAATCATGATTATATAATTTTTGTATTTATTATTTAATAAATCAATGCAAGAAACTGAGCAATCCGAAAAAGATATGATAGGTTCTCTGCTAGATGGTAATTAATCTCTTATTTCAATAGATGATGGGTCAGAATGTTCAGAATTCAGATCTTCTATTACTAAATCACAATAGCATTCTTAATCTGTAAATATTTTGTCTATTTAATCATCTAGCCTGTCAAAAGCTTTAAAGATGTAAAAGAAATTCCAATCGTAAATGATGAAGGAGGGTATTATCATTAATATTTAAAAAGTTAATAAGAATTTCCTTCAAATGATCCAAAAAACTTTTATTTTACTGTCTAATCCGCTTTCATTTAACAGAGATAGCATTCATTAAGTCATGAATTCCATCAATACATGGTACCATAACCTCCTATTTATTACCCTTACTAAGATGGATATTTTTCATAAAAACGAACGAAGCGATTATAATCTTCAACCGATTCAGAACAAACTATTGTAAATCTCTTATTTATATTTTAGTCATAACAATGTTAAGATCAATACGCTTCTCTTATTATCTAATAGTCCTTCATTTAAGGAAACGATTTTTAGAGAGATAAAATTTTTAAGGCTTTGATCGATGATTTGCCTTTACTCTCTAAACACAAATTTGGAAATTATGTCATTCAAAAAATTATAGAAAATAGCAATCAGAACATCAGAACTCTTATATTTGAATAGTTATAATTTAAAATCTTGGAGATGTGCTATGATAAATTTGGATGTCGAGTTATATAAAAATTACTAGAATACATTTAAAATCAATAAAAAATACAATTAATCCAATAAATCAAAGGTCAAGTATTGAATCTCATCTTTGATCAATGTGGAAATCATGTAATCTAAAAAATTATTGATTTGGCCTGTGACGCAGAGTTTTTAATTGATGTAGTAACTAATAATGTTGATTATATTGTTTCTCATCCCTATGGATGTAGAATTGCTTAAAAATGTCTTGAAATATTTCCTAATTAAAAATTGCAATAGCTTTATATTTCCTTAATACCTTTATGCGAGAAATTATCATTCTGTCAATATGGTAATTATATTGTGCAGCATATGATTAATTAAGGACCACCAAAAGGGTTTGAAGTAATTGGTAAATTCATCAAAACTAGAATTCTGGAAGTCAGCTAAGATAAATATGCAAGGTATTTATGTATTTTGATTTTCAAGCAATGTTGCTTAAAAATATATTACATATGCATAAGAAGATGATATTGCAAACATTTGTAAAATTCTAATGAATAATTGTGTACCCCCAATGTTGTTAATTTTAATCAATAATTAATTTGGGAATTATGTGATGCAAAATTTCTATTAGAAATGCAATGATAAATAAAAGGAATAAATTTAGATACAAATTAATAAATATGAAGATCATCAATTCACATAATTTGGTAAATTCTATATCATTATTCTAGGTCGACATTTCTTATAATTTTTGGCTAGGTGTCATGCTTGTTGATTGTTAAATTTATATATGTTAAATATTATATATATATTTTAGTTTTCATACTTTTTATCAATAAATCAAAATTATAAGAAATCTTCAATACGCTTTCCACATAAATAAATGTAAATTGCAAATGGAGAAAAAATGCAAAAATATATGATTTCCTTAAGTGCTCTTTAAGATATTACTATCAATTTTTACTTTAACGCAATTACAGTACTAAATAATATATTTTTTGAATTTATTAAGGAATATTCACCTTCTTATGCAAAGAATGCCTTTAATTATAATTTTAATTATTATTCATTTCAAATAATTGGAGGAATGGAAACCAATTAAAATCTGGATTTTGAAATAATTTTAATGCCAAGCCATTAAATTCCTTTATGAAAAAGATGTTCATCTACAGTGATAGAAAAATCTTTAAGCATTTTTGAGAGGAATTAAAAATAGATCCAAAACAATTTAGAAAAGAGATGTTTTTTGTTTTTAATTAATAACGTATAATTTTAAGTATATGAACAAAAATTTAATAATTAATCATAATTTTATTAATAATATAATATTTGATTAATAATGTTAGATACTTGCTTACAATTTTAATGAATAAACTTATATATACATTATTAATTAAATTTCAAAATAAAATCGTATTATTAAATGACGAACTTTGATAAATGACCTATTAAATACGACATTACAACTCAATTTCTAACACTTGTTAAAAAACGATATATTATATATGAATTTTAAATCTACAGTAATCGGTGCAGGACCAGCAGGTATCATAACAGTGTGTTAATTGCTTAAAAACAATTAAACCCCTATTGCTTGGGTAGACCCGTAATTCAATTGTGGGGCATTGTACTAGTTTACACATATTCCTTCCAACACAAAAGTAAATTTAAAGTGAATGTTTAGATTCAACTATTTTTAAACACTCTAAAGAGCATTGGATGGATAGAGAATCATAAAGAAATAGAAGACCCTGCTGAAGTATGGAATTATTATTGATGTTAGGTATTTAAAAATTTTGACCCAAATACTACATGTGAACTTGGCTATTCCTATGAAATGTTTAAGAAAGTGATGGTAATATTGGACCAAACATGTAAAGGAAAAATTGTGAAAATGGAAAGTGTTGTAGAAAAAATTGAGAACTTAGAGTACACTAATAAAATTACACTAAAAAATAATTGTTAGGTATTATTAAATAACAAATAAATTTAAAGTTGGAAAGCGAATACGTCTTTCATTGTACTGGTTCTAGGAGGAATACAATAGACTCAGTGGATGGTTCATTATTTAAGGTTTATCCTCATCTTAAAGAAATTGATCTATATGCTGCCATGAGTCCAGAAGATGTTCATTAACACATCACAAATGAGGACACAGTTTGCATATTTGGAAATAGCCATTCAGGAATTTTGGCAGCTATGAATCTATACAATTCATATAATAGACCAAAACATATATACATCTTCTAAAGAAGACCCATTATTTTGGCTGAATATTTACCAGATGGAAAAATTATGAATGATTCAACAGGATTAAAAGGGAGAGTGGCTGAATGGGCTAAAAATATCTTAATTGGAGAGAAACCAAAATGCATATCTGAGATTGATTCAGCTGAATTCAAGAATTATATATAACAATGCACTAAAGTTATTGTTGCCACAGGATTTCAAAGAAGTACGCTACCTATCATTTCAATTAATGATATGGAATTGATAGATAATAAGATTCATTATGATGATGAAAATATGACTCTAATTTATGGTGGAAGAGAGATATCCAATAACTTTGGCTTTGGAATTGCTTTTCCAGAAAAAGTGCTGGATGCTAATGGATCATATTAGCATGCAGTTGGTTTCTATAAATTTATGCTCACTATTACTAAAGTGATTACAAAATTATAAAATTGATTATAATTATTATTTTATTTGAGAATTATTATTAGTATTTCCATAAGCAAATATCTCAACAAATATTAATGATACTTTTACATTCCCTTTATGATTCAAAAATTTTAAGAATAGTTTGAAGGCAAAATATTTTTGTGAGATTTTCTAGTAAATAATTAATTTATGTCTATTTATAAATTTTTAGCTTGGACATCTCCAGGGCTTTAAAAAGTTTTAATTGAAGAACTAGCCCAATACAATATTTCTGCAAAACGGAGTAGATTACGTATTTAATTCTTAAAATTATAGCCATATATCCTAGCTCAGCTGTATTTTTTGAAACTTCAATGGAAAATCTTAACAATATAATGTATAAGCCTACATGCATTACATATCTAAATATTAGAATAAATAAACCAATTTAAGCAAGAAATGCACGAGAATTTATTAGGAATATGTAAAAGGTTTAGGTTCATCCATATATTCCAATAAATGCTCATTTAGAAATACGATTAAGCATTAAAAGATGTTTAAGAAATCATAGTGATAATTGGAGGGATGTCATCAAGAATTATCTATTAAATAATAATAAGACAAGGAAATTGTTGAGCGAGCGAAAATAATTATTATTAGGAAAGGAGGAATAACCAGAAAATTACATTAGTGAAACCTATTCACCAAAGATTCCAATACCTGTTAATGCTTATCTTTATCAAAACTATCTCACAATGTATGTTCAATTGCATTTTGAGAGTTTGCATAAATTTGGATTCAAAAAATATATTGGTAAAGCAACATTATCTGAAAATATTGCTGATGCTCTTCTTCATTATTGTGATATGAGAAGAGGAGTGACATTATGGGATCCTTTTTGCGGTACAGGTACAATAATTTTAACAATGCTTGTTCGCAAATTTAATAAAAGCATTAGAAAAGGGATGTTTTTACCTCTTTATTAAATGCCAATATTTAAGGATACTTATGTAGATGAAGAATTAAATGAATTAGACATAAACATCTTGGCTAATGATATAAATGAATAATAGTTAAGAATTTTTTATAAGAACTTAGATTGGTTTAAAAATTTAAAAAGAATTATACGTCAATAATCACCACAATTAAGAAGTAAATCTTATGAAAATTTGAGCATTGCTTAATTGGATTTTACGAGCATGCATAAAGAATTCATCAAAGACAAATTGAAAAAGGATGATTTAATCGTAATCACCAATCCTCCTTGGGGTAGAACAGTTAATTTAGAAAAATTTAATAAGATGATTAAATTCTTAGAAATAAATTGCAGTTAATGCTATTTGCTGATTGCAAGTGATTAGTTTTAATTTTTTAATAAAAGGAAATGGGAGTTATTGGCAGAACCATTAGTTGGAGGATAATGGACAAAAATTATTAAATATGATAGAAATAGAGAGGTACAACTTGCCACATCAGAAATAGTTCTTAAAGAAAATAATTAAATCATCTCATAAACTGCAACAACAGAGTTGATAGCTAAGGAACTTTCATATTAAAGAGATATAGAAGAATATTAAAATAAAAAAATAGTAGACTTAACAAAAAATTTAGGAGCTCTTTCTAAAAAATTAAATAATGAAGATTATCTTAAACATTTGAAAAAGGAGACACGAACTATTGCAGATAAACATGCAGTATTTCTGAAAAAATTAAATATAGGAACTAAAACAAAAGTGAGATCAATAATGTTAAGAAGAGCATAGGATTTGTACAAAACAAAAATAAGAAATTTAAATTTACAAATTAACAAAATTAGGGAATAGATAAAAAAAGAAAGAATTGAATTAAAGAAATAAGAAGTAAAGGATAAGGTAATATTGGATAAATATCAATTGAAATAAGAAGACTTAGAGAAAGTATAGAAAGTGTTAGATGAAAAGGCAAAGAAAAAGAGTTTAAAACTATTGAAACAAGAGAAAAAGAGATCTCAAACAATTCCAAGATGGTGATATTAATATTTTATGTATTTATCAATGACTTGATTATTAAGGATGACTTCTTAATTATCTAGATTTGACTGGATGTTTAGCATGATAGTCTTCAATTCTTTCTTCGATTTCTTCTCTGTAGGATCTGATTAAACCTTAGACAGGCCAAGCAGCAGCATCTCCTAGAGCACAAATAGTATGACCTTCAATTTAATATGTTAATTCCTAGTAATAATGAATACATATCTTACTTCTAATTAATCAATTTCAGCAAAATCAGCATTTCCTACTTTCATTCTTTCCAATAAATCAACTAACCAGGAAGTACCTTCTCTGCATGGTGTACATTAACCACATGATTCATGTTTATAGAATTTACTTAATCTTAAGATAGCATCAATAATATCTGTTGATTTATCAATGACAATAACAGCAGCAGTACCTAATCCAGATCTAACATCTCTTAAAGCATCAAAATCCATAAGAACAGTCTCACAAATTTCTTTTGGTAACATAGGGACTGATGAACCTCCAGGAATAATGCATTTAAGATTATCCCAACCTCCTCTGACTCCTCCACAATGTCTTTCAATTAATTCTTTAAGAGGAATAGACATCTCTTCTTCAACAGTACAAGGATTATTAACATGANCTCTCATATTAAAGAGATATAGAAGAATATTAAAATAAAAAAATAGTAGACTTAACAAAAAATTTAGGAGCTCTTTCTAAAAAATTAAATAATGAAGATTATCTTAAACATTTGAAAAAGGAGACACGAACTATTGCAGATAAACATGCAGTATTTCTGAAAAAATTAAATATAGGAACTAAAACAAAAGTGAGATCAATAATGTTAAGAAGAGCATAGGATTTGTACAAAACAAAAATAAGAAATTTAAATTTACAAATTAACAAAATTAGGGAATAGATAAAAAAAGAAAGAATTGAATTAAAGAAATAAGAAGTAAAGGATAAGGTAATATTGGATAAATATCAATTGAAATAAGAAGACTTAGAGAAAGTATAGAAAGTGTTAGATGAGAAGGCAAAGAAAAAGAGTTTAAAACTATTGAAACAAGAGAAAAAGAGATCTCAAACAATTCCAAGATGGTGATATTAATATTTTATGTATTTATCAATGACTTGATTATTAAGGATGACTTCTTAATTATCTAGATTTGACTGGATGTTTAGCATGATAGTCTTCAATTCTTTCTTCGATTTCTTCTCTGTAGGATCTGATTAAACCTTAGACAGGCCAAGCAGCAGCATCTCCTAGAGCACAAATAGTATGACCTTCAATTTAATATGTTAATTCCTAGTAATAATGAATACATATCTTACTTCTAATTAATCAATTTCAGCAAAATCAGCATTTCCTACTTTCATTCTTTCCAATAAATCAACTAACCAGGAAGTACCTTCTCTGCATGGTGTACATTAACCACATGATTCATGTTTATAGAATTTACTTAATCTTAAGATAGCATCAATAATATCTGTTGATTTATCAATGACAATAACAGCAGCAGTACCTAATCCAGATCTAACATCTCTTAAAGCATCAAAATCCATAAGAACAGTCTCACAAATTTCTTTTGGTAACATAGGGACTGATGAACCTCCAGGAATAATGCATTTAAGATTATCCCAACCTCCTCTGACTCCTCCACAATGTCTTTCAATTAATTCTTTAAGAGGAATAGACATCTCTTCTTCAACAGTACAAGGATTATTAACATGGCCAGAAATGCAGAATAATTTAGTGCCTCGATTATTAGGTCTTCCAAAAGATGCAAACCAATTTGCTCCTCTTCTAAGAATTGTTGGACAAACTGAAACTGTTTCTACATTAGTCACAGTTGTTGGACAACCCCACAATCCTGCATTTGCTGGAAAAGGTGGCTTAAGTCTTGGCTTTCCTGGCTTTCCTTCTAATGATTCAATTAAACCCTTTCAAATATTTATAATTAAATTACTGTTTCTTCTCCACAAATATATGCACCTGCTCCACTGTGAACATATACATCGAAATCATATCCACTTCCACATGCATTTTTACCCAAAAATCCTTTTTTATATGCCTCATCTACTGCTTATTACAAGGCATTGGCTTCTACCCAGAATTCTCCTCTACAATATATATAGGCTGCTCTTGCTCTCATTGCAAATCCTACACACAAAGCCCCTTCTACTAATTTATGAGGATCATGTCTCAAGATTTCTCTATCTTTACATGTACCTGGTTCAGATTCATCTGCATTTATAACCAAGTAGGAAGGTCTTTATTAAATAATTCCATTAATTTATATACCTTCCATCTGGATTTACTTTAGGCATGAATGAGTATTTCAAACCACTTGGAAATCCTGCTCCACCTCTTCCTCTAAGACCACTCTTTTTTATTTCATCGATAATCCAATCTTAACCCATTGTTAAGATATCTTTTGTTCTATGCCAGTCACCCTATGATTATTAATTTTCTTACTCTTTTCAAGGCTCCTTGAATATAAGGATCTCCATCACGATAAACATTAGTAAATATACGATCTTGATCTTTCAATCCACCATGATAGTATCTAGGTTGAGGAGTCAATCTTAGAAATAGCTGAGCTTATCTAATTATCATTTTAATATAATAATAAATATTATTATATTTAAACATCAAATCAAAACTAATTTCCAATAATTGTTCTTCCCTTCGTTATCATTTAAACAAACCTATCTATTTTATGATAGAGTTGCTTTTTTATTAATGAAAGATAAGTATTTAGTAATATCATTATGTTTCAATTCAAATATTGCTCCATCCTTTAAAATGTTATCATCAAATTCAATAGTCCAGCATCTACTTGAACCATAACTACAGTATACAATGCCTTCTCCATCTAATTCTGTTGCCATAAGTTATCTTCCTGTCAGAATATGTATTAACTGAGTCATTATAAGTCATCTTACATCTATTTTATCCCCTGAACAAATTGGCAACTTGTCTGCTTCTAAATGCCATTCACAATAGCAACACAATTCAGGATTAATATTAGTTAAAGATACTTCATATGCATGGTTTCTAGTATTAGTAAGTCTCACAATAAATTATCTTTATACTTTATCGAATGAGAAGAGAGTAGTTTAGATATGTATACATTCAAAATTTAAAGTTTGTTATCCTTATCAATTGTATTTCCCAAATTTACTGTTTATCTCTATTTTAACAAGACTCTAATACTTAACTATCTGGATTCTGGTAAAATTGGCTAGCTGTAAAAACTGACCGATCATATTAAGAGTATATAGCAGATTCCTCTTCAGGAATTACTGTGAATGTTGTTTTAGGATTAGAACCTCTAGGATTACTTCTACATGGCCAATTAACTATAGTATCACCCTTCTAACACACCGAGCCCATAATTTAATTAATTCTTATAGTTATAAGATGAGAAAATTAAAGTTTTCAAGCAAAATCATTTCTACATTGATTTTCCCGCATTCTAATTAAAATATACCTTCAATGGTAATTATAGATTAACTTTTAGTTTCGAAAGTGAAAGTAAATAAATATATATACTACTTTGAAAACACATTTAAAAAGTGAACAATTATTATTCGAATCTTATTGAATCATTTCTTTTTGACAAAAAAAGTGGATGTGATATCATATGTACCTGGTCCAGGTAATTTCGTATTTTCATAACAACTCTAAGATCTTTTCTCTCTTCCAAATACAATACTCACTTGTGGTTTTTTAGATTTTAGATCTGTTTCATATTCACCAGGTCCCTAGAATAATATGAATGAGAATACGGGTATCTATATCTTATTGTAACTATCCCTTTTTGCCTGCCCAAATATAATACTTTTAGTTTCTCTAAATTCCCCAATAGTATAAGATTATGGTCCAGGACCTTAATTATCTGTTTTTTCTCTATATCTTTGATAGATAGAATATTTGGGTGCGTTACTAGGTTTATGAGGCTTATAACTTGCTGGTCCAGGAAGAACCTCAAGCTTAGTATCATCTCGTTAACCTCTACCTATTGTATAACCAACGCTTTCTTTGATTGCCTAAACATCATAATCACCAGGACCAGGAGAATTAGACTTCTAAAAGATTCCCTCTCTTTTACTCATCCCAATTTTAAATGATTTTACTCTTTCTTACCTAAACTATTCATATGCATCAGGACCAGGTGTAATCATAGAAATTGTCCTCTCTCGACGGGGTACTATTTTAAATCCACC